TTTCCATTTCAAACATGTGGGAGATATGTTTTGGAACAGAGCACTTCTTAGTAGACTGCTTTCAAAGGGGGACCATGGCTGCTTCTCTACTGCTGGGCTTTCCGACTTTGTTACTGCTATGGACACTGACCTTGCCTTGCTGCACAAAGGGAAGGAACTTTTGGGCAGCCTTATACCTTGCTCCTTTCCTTCAGCAACCGGCTAAACAGCCAGCCAGGATTTCATCGGTTTCATCAATTCCTTGGAAAACATGATTTGCTGGTTGTAGCATGAATTTCTCTGCACATAATGCATTTATTAGGAATTGTATTCTCTGAAGCCGGCTTGGCAGCACCTTTCCGCAATTACTTTGCTTTGTAGAGAGAGGGAACGAGCATGGAACTTGATTGCCAGAGCCCAAGTTGTCCATGGGATCTTGAGACAGGTCATTTTCTCAGGGAGGGAACCCTCAGGAGGGGTTGGGTGAGGTGAGGCAGGGCCAGGAGGCAGGGCCAGGCCAAGGAAATTCAGCCGGTTCATTGAACTGCACATAAAATTAACAAACAGTGCTAGCGAACCGGTGAGAACTGGCTGGATCCCACCACTGCTTAAATGAGAGATATAAGCAATTCAATCTAGTCAGAAGTCCAGATCTTATGACTATTTAAAAAATAATGTTAATAAAAATAGCATATTTCAAAACAACTTGAATTTTTATATATGTATAAACTAATTAAATCAAATTGAATGTGTTCTCTGACATGAACAAGCACTTGTTGAATCAATTCCTTTATTACATCCCATATGCCAGTGTTTATAATAAAAGTACCTTACAGTGGCATATAAATTAGGCTTTTGAAACTGTTCCTGAATTCACAAACTCCTGTTCACAGCAATTTCTTTGATGTCCATTTCTATAGCTGCCCATTTCACATATATACATATGAGATCTGCCTGTAGGTATCATTCAGGAGGGTATGAGGTACACAGGTTCAGTATTCTACTCTCTGGTTAGGAAGTATTGCCATTTGCATATTGAAGAAATCTAGACATGATACTAAACATTACTACTAATTCTGCAGAAAAAATGGAAATGGTATTTTCCAAAAGCATTTGGCTTGAAGTTGTTTAGAACAATTCTTAGCAAACCCAGCAAGTAAGAGAAATGATTGGGGATAATGGGAATCATAATTCAATATTTGGGGAGGGGGGCACCAGATTGGCAGATTTTGCTCTAAGCCTTCCACAAATTTATCCTAAGGCCAAACAACCAAGCAGTAGAAATGCCTGACTTCTCACAAGAACCAGATTTGTTTAACAGTAGTACAAAACAGAAAAAGAGAGAAATAGATTATAGTCAGAAAGCTTTCAAAGATTTCTAAGCTTAACAACAAGCAAGCATGGGTGCTTTTTACCGAGGTAGCAGTGAGTTCTTTTTACCCAAGTTATTATTTATAAAAAAAATCCAAGTACTTAAAAAAACTTGACAGTCTTCAAACAAGTCTCAAGAATATCAATGTTAGAGCTAGCCTACATATTTAAGATCTGTTTTAAAATACTGCATACACAAATGGATTATTTTGACTGCCTGAAACACAGTGGCTGTTTACAGTCAGGTGAGCTTACTGTGAATAAAAAGGAAATATTTTCATACTGAAAGAAACAGTTCTAACCAGGGGTGGGTTTCTACCGGTTCTGTCCACCTCTGTAGAACCGGTAGCTCTGAAGAGCTGATGTTTTTGCCCGCCCACCTACCCGAGCTCTTACCTGATCTTTATTTCCTGATTTTTCAACTTCAGCTGCCGAACAAGGCACAGCTGCAGTTAGAATAGCAAGAAAAAAGGGCTGTTTCAAAGGCTGCTTCTCTACAGGCAGCTGCTGCTGCTGATTTACAGACACACAGCTCACAGCCTGTAGGGAAGCTAGTAAATCCCGAACCAGTAGTTAACCCTGTCGTATCCCATCCCTGGTTCTAACTGCACAAAGAAATAACACTACTCAGACAGTGTAGGATGCAGTGGTGTGACCACAACAGTGAATATATTGTTATATTATATAAGGGCTGATGAAGTCATGAAGTGTCAACTGAATAGACTTATAATTTTTCTCTTTAGCATATGCTAGAATTAAGATTTTGATTTATTATTCGTCATGCTAAACAGGTGGCCACAATGATTCTTGTAGGTTTTAAAATTTTAAGTCTCATGGTGTGGTTATAGGTTAAATTTATCTGAGATCTAATGCAACCATTAAAAAAACTTTTGCCATATGCTGAAGTTGTTAAATTTTGAATTGCATTTTACCACATAAATTGGCATATCATTCAGTGGGAATAAACTTTGCTGGAGCTAACAGCTAAGCATGTTTCCATTAGAGGCCAGCAACAGTCCGGCATACCAATGCAGTTATCCTTAAGTTTTGAATTATTCTCCTCCAAATCTAAACAACCAGAGCTGGGCAGCATTTTTGTACAGTAGTTACTCCTTCACTGGATTAGGTAAACTAAATGGTCATAGACAATATTTTTCTCTCTTTTTGTAAATCTTTCACTCTGCTTCTTTTCCCAATTGGGATTCATAATAAGCACGGAAGATCATGCTTCAGATCGAATCAGAGATCTGCCAGCTTAAAAAAAAAAAGATGTCAAATCAAAATGAAGTTTAATCCAGATAAATTGGAAGATGTATTGTTAATGGATGCCTCAACTGTTTGTGTTCAGTATGTTTTAAAAGAATAAAACTGTAATTTATATAGTAGTGTTTAATATTTGTAGTTTGGAAATGGGTCTTTTTTTTTCCTTTATATATAATGCTTGAGTAATTCCTAAACCTTGTAAAATAACATTGAAAGAGAATATGAAAGTGTACATGTTAAAAAGTAGCCAAAAAAGGATGTGCTAAAATGTTTTGATTTTAGAAATATTTTCAAAGAATAGTTTAGAGTTTTAAAATGAAGATTTTAAAAAGTTTTTCCCCCTTTAATGTTAAGGAATCTGAAAGAGTATAGTGCATTTTATTAAAATGATGTCAACATAAAAAATATTTTTAATACCGTTTTTCTCCAACAATATGCCACCCCAATAGGAAGGCCCAGCATATTTTCTAGGCATGAGGTGAAATTAAGCCCCTCCCCCAAAATTTAGGCCTATTTAAAACATGTGAAATGGGGGGAGGGTGGGAGGAACTTGCCATTAGGAACGCCCTGCGGGCAGCCATGCCTCACCACCAGCCGATCATGCCTCCTAACAGCCGATCATGCCAGAGCGTGGATGGCTCCCTACCCCCACCAAGCACCTTTGCTGCAGACCCGGGTATGGTGCTGGCTGCAGGATGGGTCAGCGAGCGGGTGTCGTCGTCGTAGATGTCAGCCTCAGCAGCAGCGGGGCACTTTGCACCGCTGCGACTTCCTCTGCCGGCAGCATTTCAGCTGCTTCTCGGGTGGGGGAGCTACCTCTGTAGCTTCCCTGGTTCCCGCCGGTGGTGGCGCCTCTCTCGCCAGTGCCATCTCCAACAACGGCAGCAGTGGCGGGACAGACCCCACTGCCGACAAGGACCATTTGCCCTCCTGCAGGGGCATCGCTTTGCTTGACGGCGGCTGCATCGACAACGTCCTGCAAGCTAGTGAGTCATTCAGGCTTTGGTGGGTGGAAGCAGCAGTGGAAGGGTGATGCCATTGTTTTTCTCCCCCTACGCCTTGCTTTGCTTTCCGCCCCAGAGCTTCAGGTCATGGTCTCATCCCCTGTATGGTCGGGGCCCTCCCCCCTGCCCCCGCCCCCCGACCCCCCCCCCCTGGACCTTTTCCCCCTCTTTAAGTTTTTTTTACTCTCATTCCCTCCGTCAGTTCCTTAAGAATACAGACTGGCTGGGCAGCTTCTTCCCCACCCCTTTGGGAGGATCCGCTGGGAAGCTTGGCAGGGAAAGAAGGAGGGAGGGAGAGAGAGAGGAAATAGTGTCTTTGGGATTTGCCAGGAGAAATCCAGAAGGTGGATTTCCATCCTATTTCTGCCCTTCAAGGAGATGAGGGTCGGGAGTGCATTTAAGGGGGTGCTACCCTCCCTCCTTCTTTCCCTGCCAAGCTTCCCAAAGGATTCTTCCAAAGGATTCACCCCAAATTCAAATTCAACATATTAGATTCAAGCTTTACTTGGATTGTGTGTTTTGGGAAGTCATGGACAGAAACACACAACACACACTGCATATATGTAGCTCAAATAGAATCTTAATATTTGCCATACAGTAACATTTTCTCTACAACACATCTGATCATACTGAAGGAGAAAGCTGAAATGGAAAAAATGTGAGTATTGTATTAGATATTTACGATATTATTTTGTCCATATAATGGACAAAATATTTTGTTGGATTAGCCATACTGTTATACATGACAGTGTCAAAATAAATATGTAATAAAATAGCTAAGAAACTCAAGGGGACATTGTATAATTATCAAAAGAAAACTTAATGGGAAAGATTGTGGCATCAAATGAAATTTTACTGAATGAATCTTTACATGGAAAATGCCATTCTACTTTTGACCTGTTAAGAATACATTACATGCCAAATGTCATTAACAATAGCAATAGTATTTAGTCTTATATACCACGCCATAGTGCTGATTTACAGAGCCAGAATATTGCCCCCAACAATCTGGGTTCTCAGTTTACCGACCTCAGAAGGATGGAAGGCTGAGTCAACCTTGAGCTGGTCTGGACTCTACTCCTAGCTGTGGAGTTCACTGCACCGTCACAGCTCCTATTAATTAACCTTAAACCTTTTAATGTTGGCAATTAATATTATATGAGGATTATAGTGGAGATATATACATGTAGACCTACAGACATGTATGCAGACATATATTATAGATTAATATTATTTTCAAAATTAAAAATTGAACAGCTGTTACCATCATATATTTTTGAAACAAATGAGTAATTGTCACATAATTTAATTAATTAATTAAGAAAAACAATATGTAAGAATCTCTACAGACTAAAACAATATAGTTTTCTGCATTTGTCTTGCCTGTATCAGAGTCCTTACCTGCTGTTTCAGTGCTTCCAAAGATTCAAATTCTAGCCTTGCCAATTTTATCTGAATATCACGGGGTTTGTCAGCTATCACATAGGACATAAGGAACTTCACTGCTAGGGCTAAATGCTGAAAAAAAGGAGATGAATAAAATAGCATTCAGGGATAACTTAGTATCTTGATGTTGTGCTTAAATATTCGCTCTTTAGTTCAACAGCTAATAATCATAATTCGAAAAACTATGTTTCTGAGATACTCATAGAAAGAAGAAAAAATTCTCTATGGCAGATTTCTCTTGATATTCATATAGAAGCCTACATAATTATTTTCTTCTGTTCAATTTGTCTTTGCAAATGGAGACTGCTTGGACAAGTCCTTGCAGTTTCCTTGGTAAGACTTTTACAGAAGTGGTTTGCCCTTTCTCCTTTCCAGGGCTGAGAAAAATTGACCAGCCCAAGGTTACCCAGATGACTTTGTGACTAAGGTAGAACCAGAATCATACACACCCAGTTTTTAGTCTTAACAGTACATCAAACTGGACTCTAAAATAATACAATTATTTATAATGAATTACTCAACTAGACTGTGATGATAGCAAAGTTTTCACATAAGGACAGATAATCCCAACTAACTATTTTACGATTATAGTTTTAAAAGCAGAAAACTTTTGAAGTATATGTATTCAAAGTCAAATTGTAAAAATGTGGCACTGTGGAGCTGGCTCATGGGCTCAAGCAGCATAAAACACAATTCATATATGTCATGGATTTTGAGCTTTCATTTCCCCTTACCATTACCAGAATATAAAGTCACAATAAGATAAATATGATCAAATGACACTATGGAAATATTATTAATAATTACAGTATAAATAATGTTTAATTAATTTGTATAGCTACCCCCTGAACAAATGATAATAGATGGAAAACAATATTAAATAAAAGCAATTACAAACAATAATATTCATAGTAGCCAAGAAAACATCACAACCAATAGATATGAATGGGGTCCTTTCATAGCCCCAGGCCTGAGCAGAGAACCAGGGGAAAGTTTAGGTCCATCTCTGTGGCTGGGATTCCACAAGTGGACTGTCATTTTTCAAACCAGTGCTTCTGTGATCATGCTGCAGTTATAAACTGCCTCATTGCTGGGCTGCATGGGTCTCTGGATCACAGCAGTTTGCAGCTACGCTCAGAAAAAGACAGCTGCTTATGGGATTATGCCATGTGGCCTAACAATGGAACAGCTTTCCTCCTTTTCTCTCCAACTTCCTGGGTGCTTTGAAAGGTAAGTGTGTGATTGTGACGGGAGTGGAAAGGAGCCCAAGCCACTGTGGGGATCTCAAGGGGAAGGAAGAACATGGAATATCTCAGGGGGTGGGAAAGGCCTTTGGAGGCCTGAGGCAGGTGGGCTTGTACCTGCACTAGGCTCTCAGGGTCTCCCCTGCCCGAGGAACCCCATGCTTTACTTAACAGCCATCCTGATTTCCAACTGTAATGAATAAACTTCACTATGGTTGTAACTCAAGGACTATCTGTATCTCTGGACCCGTTTTCAGTTTTTTATTTTGGATTGAGCTCTTTAACAGCTTGGTTCTCAAACAAAGCATTTCCAGAGTATGCATGTAATTGCTCTGCTCGCCTTAATATATGACTGCTCCAGTAAACTGTTTAAAATCAAGTCAGTGTATGAATACTTAGTGTGAACTGGTACATTAAGCATGTAAACTGTGTATGCAATCTAAATCTCTCATTATACTACAAGTAGCACTTCTGATACATAAACATTTGCTCAAGTACACAAGGAGAAATAACTTCTTTAGATCATATTATAATTGAAGGAGAAATAACTTCTTTAGATCATGTAACAATTGTTGGGAAATGTGTACATTTTACAACTGATGGAAAATATGTGCCTATGAAATGTATTTGAATATTAGTAGCTCAGGTTGGTAGTTTAGGTTGTTGGTTTGGTATCTGTGCTTGGCAATTTGGTTGTAAATGTTTCAACACCATTTGATGAGACATCATCAGTGCACTTTGAATTGTGCTCGTCTGTCAGAACAGTGTCAGCATATAAGACATTATGAGCTGGGATAGCTATAACAACAAAGCATCCAATGGGAACTGTTTGGTGATTAAGAAACAGAATCTGTTGTGAGCCATGTCAGACAGCTTGGAGACTGGGCGTGGCTTAGGGTAACTGGTCTGCATAAATATAGAACTTCTGTAATTCTGAGTTCTGGTGGTTCTGGCTTGTTTCTTGTCCATGTACTTGCTACCATGTTGTATGGATATTGTATACATGCATCATGTTTTATATTATTGTATATAAACAACTTTCTTCTATAAATGAATCCTGCTGAATTATGTACTTGTGTGCCAGTTGAATTTCTGCAAACTCTAGCACACTGGTCTTTAAATATCTTTTTATGTGATGCAAATTAGTGGGAATGTTGTTTGTTCGACTACTTCTGAGTTATGGTCTTCGGACTGTTTGATTGGTTGGCTTTTGTTACCGAGGCATGGTCTTTGGTTTTAAGTACTGTCTCTACGTGATGTAAATTAGTGTTGTTTGTTCAGATACTTCTGAGTCATGGTCTGGTTTCAGACTGTTTGATTGGCTGATTGTTGTTGAGACATGGTCTGATTTCTTGTGAGCTGATGGGTTATAGTTTTGTTGTGGTGTAGTAGTGGCTGTTTGTTCAGTTTAAATGTTATTTTTGGCATCATGGTTGATGCAGTTCTTTCATTCCTCAGTGACTAGTAGACAGGATTGATGTCAATATGTCTGTTTATTGACTTGTTGGTAGAAAACTAGACTTCAAGGAATTCTTGATTTCGCCTGGGTGATCCCAGTTAGGTCAAATTGTGGTCCCAGTTAGGTCAAATTTCCTTCTGAATCTTCATGGATGGACATGTGCCTATATATTATTATTACTATGGTTGCAGTCATAAATAAATGCAATATCCATTTTTACTGACTTCCTGGTAATTTCAGGCTTAAATGTTTGCAAAACAACCAGTGTACTAGGGAAAATTAATATGTGAAATAACATCTGTCCCAAAGGAAGCAATATACAACCAATCATTGAGCCAATGCTGTCTTTTGAGTACCACATTGTCAACTATTTTTTGAACCCAAAAATTTCCTCTTTTAAAGATGCTTAACTATCCAATGGAAGTGAAGTAATAATTTTTGTTTTATAAATAAATATAATAAATATCAATTAATGTTTAGATACATCTCTTTATCTACTTTATTGTATTGTTACAACAGTTTTATTATAACTTGTTAAATCTTTAATGCTAGAGAAAGCCAAAATACTTATGGTTACCAGGATACACTTCCATGTCAGCAAGTATTTTAAGGGAAAACCCTGCACTTTGGAGAAAATAGTACACTGTGTCCTCAAATAACAAAAAATCCTTTTTTAATCTTATCAAATTTTCTACACTCTATCTGCACTAGATCCGCCAACAAAAGATTTTTTTTTGCCAATTTCATCTTCAATGTTAATTAGCACAACTGGAGGAATTAAATATACTGCAAACTGTCTTTCTCTATTAGCTAACGGAAGGAGAAGGGGAATCCTACATTTGTAATTAGTATCAAACATGCTGATTCCAGAAAAGCCCATGAAGGCAAGTTCCAGGAAGAAAAAAGTGCTTTTCTAAATAATTTATTGAATTAAAAAAAGGAAGGATACATAAAATTTTAAAATAATGCAATAAAATAATTCAACTTCTAAAAATATTTTAGGAACGTAGTACTATAAAGAAAGTTGTAAGATAATTACAAGAAGCTATATTGGTATAAAAAGAGGAAAATATTCATTTATTTGAAGTAGGAAACTTATCAGTTTCATTAATTAAAATAACTGTATAAGAATCCTGATGGTGTATCACTACAGGAACAAGGCTCTGCAGCACATGCTTATTGCAAGGTCTCTGGGTTAATAAAAGATGGGAAAGACTCAAGTGTAACAGAATGATACATTATGTTTAACATTAAAAATGGCTTTCTTTTTCAGAGAAAACCTCTCATATTTATTTTAAATTTACAATTTTATCTCAAAAATGAACTAATTGTACAATATAGATATATAGGTAAAGAACAGAGAAGAGTGAAACTAATGGTAACAGAAAGAAACAAGTATTAGCATATAGCCTACTGTTTAGATATAATATAGCATACATTACATAGGTGAGAATAGACTGGGATATGGAAACTGGAGATAGGGGAAGCAAGATAGAAAATAAACTGATATGAAATGGTTTGCATGATGATAGTACATTCAGCAAATGCCAGTGGAAATGCTAATTCTTATGGAAAGAAGGAAAACAGCTGTGAAGTGAAATAAGAATGGGAAGAGGCAGAGAAATGGAAAATGGATATTGTAAGCATTAGAGCTGAGGGAATAAAAGAGCTATAGTTACAGTCATTTCTGGATTTATTTGATTCTTTCTTTTCTTTATAATGAATTTATTATGAATTATATTCCAGTACATTAATTTAAAAAGGCACTTATACAAGTCTCTAAGCCAGTAGTTCTCAATCTTGGTCTGCAGATCTCTGGGGGAATGGGAGGGCACTCTAATGTCACCACAGGAGGTATGCGAAGGCTTGAAGAAATGTTATGGTTTAAATTTTGAGTTAGTCTTGGACATTGTTCCTGGCCACAAAAAGTATTTAAGAGGGGTCTGTGGTAAAGAAAAGGTTGAGGACCACAGCTTTGGGCTATGGAATATTATTCAGATGTATGATAAATGTAGATTAAATTAGTTTATTGATGACTACTTAGTGACTCCATAGTCCATAGGTACTTATGAAACTAAGGTTTGACTTTACTAAATAGTTAAGCTTCATTGAACATTGCAATGATTAATTTTGAGTAAATATGGACAGAACTGTACTCAATTTTTATTGAGTTCTTTTACTTGAGACTATTAATGTTTTCATTTGACATTCATAGTATTACGAGTTCATGGAAGACAAGAATTCAATTACGTAACAGCTTGTTCTGAACTGGATATTCACATGCCCCCTTGTGGTGGAACTCAATCAATTTATTAAGATAAATGAGACAAGGACGATGCATCCATTAATTTTTTCTATGCAAATATATT